TCATATGAAGAAGTTTTAATTAATGAATTCAAAAGTCAGATTAAATATTTAGAACTCTTAAATCTTCTTGATCCAAAAAATTATAGTGTTTAAATAAAAGGTCATGAAAATGAAAATTTTTGCCCAAAAATGATTGGATTTTCTGCAAATACAAATGTTAGATTTATTTATGATTTTTGTGAAGATGAAGAATTAAAAGCTACATCAGAACAGAAATTTAATAATACAAAATTATTTAGTTCATTTGTAAATCGATTAGATTATATTGTAGAATTCAAGAAATTTAGAGAAGATAATAAAAAACTATGTTGAGAAGAATGTTCTTGTTGTAAAATTCGAATGATTTTTCATAAAAGTTTACCTGAAGACTTTTTTAATTTTAACTTTGAAATTGAATTTAATCATAATGTTACAGAAGAAAAAGCAAGAGAAATATTAGAAAATAAGTATAGTAGATTTGAAGAATTAGATACAGTCAGACCTCCCTAAATGCAACCTCTATAAATGCAATACCTCCCTAAATATACATTTTTGTCTTGGCTGTATGAAATCATTAGTGCTAAATGCACATTCTATATTCTGCAAATGCATATTCACTCAAAAGATTTTTTATATTATACTAACCTCTCTAAGTGCACGTAGCCAATCAGAAGTTAGTATTTAAGTTTGTTACACAAGTCTGCAGATCAAATATTAAAAGCTGCAATTTGATTGGCTCTCTTTAAATGCAAATCTTCCTAAATGCATGTTTTAAGCTAGTCTGTACACGTTGTATTTATGGAAATTTGACTATAATATTTATTATTGAAAAAAATATTACACGATTGATAAAAACAAATATATTCTTGAACAAATTGAACTATATTATCCAAAAATTTATAATACTGAAAGAATATATCAAGAAAATACAGATGAATATAAAGTAATCAAAAGAAAAAATTTAAAGGAAAACCCTTTAAAACATAAGAATGAAATTCTTTCTGTTGAAATATTATTTCCAATAATATTACAAAAATTACAGAATAAAAAAAACAAAAAAAGAAAGAAATCTTATATTCGAATATCTACCAAATCAAGATCAAAAGACCAAAATATCAACAGAATTATCAGATCTCCGAGAAGAATCAAGTAAAAAAAAACTATCAATTAATAAGTTAAATTATGATTCTGATTTATATTCAAATAATTCAGATTATACTCATAAAAGAAAAAAAGACAAATATATAGAAGAACCAAAACAGATTGAACAAGAAAATAATAATTTTGATCAAGAACAGATTGAAATCAATTAAAATATTATTAATTAACAACAGTTTGAAATTCAACAAAATAATCAAGAATCACTTGATAAAAAGAAATCTAACTATACAGAAGAAAATGATTTTAATTATAATGAAGATTTTGAATTAGATATAGCAGATGAAACAAAAAATGAAGAATTCAAAAGAACAAATAGAAATAATTCTCTTTATTTAGGATTCTTACATGTAATTCAAAAGTTATAAATTATTTTACTATATAGTTATTTTTTTGATATTAAAAACATTTATAAATAGCAAACAAATAAAATTTTTTTTATTAATAAAATATGTCAATTCCTAAAATAAATATAATACAAGAAATATTATTTAATAAAAAAAAGTATATCAAATTTCTATTAAAAAACCAACTTATTAATAAACAACCAAATAGTTGCTCAAAATGTAACAATACAGAATTTTACTGTTGATATAATTTATGGATATGTAAAAACACAAATTGTAACAAGACAATTTTAATATATTATAATTCATTTTTAGTAAAAGATGTTTAAAAAGCAACCAGATCTTATTATTTAGCTATTTTTGGATTTCAAAAGCACGTTATACAACATTTAAACATTTAACAGGATTATTACCAAAATCAATTAAAAAATATACAAAAATATTTTGTGATTTAATAATAAACACATTAACAGTTAATGATAGCAGGCTAGGAGAAGAACGTAAAATTGTAGAAATAGATTCTAAATTTAAAAAAGATGTTTCATGGTAGGTTGTAGGATTAACCGAAAGAAAATCTAACAAATGTTATTTTGAAGTTGTACAAGACAGAAATACAAATACTCTTACA